TATACTATTATTAATAAGAATCAGGAATGGAGACCATCCTCAGCATGTGGGTTCCTTCTCTAAGAAGCTGGCTGCTCCGCATCTCTCTAGCTTAAAACAGGGAAAAGGGGAAACAATCTGAGGAACACATACTCAGTCCTTTGTGGGTAGGAGCCTGGAGTGGCAAACATGACCTCCATTCACATCTCATTGGCCAAATATTACTCACATGGCCACATCTAGCTGCCAGGGAAGTGAGAGATTCACTTTTTGCTGGTCAACCTGTGCCTCGCTAAAACACTAAGACTATAGACAATTAAGAAACCAGATATTGAAGGACAGCTAGGATCACACAAGGCCGTCGTATGCTTTGTTCCTTTCATTTGTTAACAAATTAAAAAGTATTAATATATTGTCTAATGTTAAATCACCCTCACATGCCTTAAATCCCATGTGAAGATTCTTTTACTGTATTGTTGGGTTCTATTTGGGAGTGCTTTATGATTTTTACATCTGTGTTTATTAAAAATAACTTTAAGTGGTACTACTCCACATTTATATGATATTTTGCAGTTTTAAAGATCAGTTGCCGTACATTGTGACACAAGAAGAGATGATAATCAGGAGCTGACCGTAAAAAAAAAAATAGTAGATATTAAGTACATAAATAGAAAACATCTACAAATGGAACACTGCAGCCTTTTCTTCATTATTGCCTACATTCTAAAAGGCCCTCTGTAGAGAATAGAGAGAATTGAAAACGGGTTTTTGATCATATGAACCTAGGAGGGGTGTTATCACCCTCGGAGATGCGTGGGTAGGATTGGGGCAGGAATGGGGCAGCCACTCCGTAAAATGCTAGCATGCTGCTGGTGTTCTAGACGTGCTTCCGATGCAGTGTTTAAACAGCCTGGTTTTGAATTTACAAGTCAAGGGTTTTCTGGTTATTAAGCCTTTCTCAGCTCTCTGAACCTGTGTTTTGATCCTTTACTATCTGCATACACCAAATTAGATGATGGCAGTTGCACTCTCTCCGGGAAAGGAAGCACTACAAATACAGCGGCTCCTGCTCTTTGGCCGCTGGGTCGTGTGTGTGCTGGGCACACGGTCTCACAGGGCCGAAGAGCTTTTCCAGAATACACCAGAATCGCATAATAGCGAGCGCTCAGAAGTATAAAGCGCCTGTGGGAGGAAAATAAGTGGTCAGCTGACATAATTTCGCCAAAGAGGCACTCCGCATTGGCATGACTGGGCATCACCGAGAACACAGAGTCACCCCGATAGCAGGCAGGGCCTCTTTGCAGATTCTGCCCCCACAAAGTAGGCTTCGTGCTAGTCCCCCTCCCCTGAGCCCCAGAGCCTCCCAATGTCCTAGATCAGAGCTACTCGGGGCAGCCTGTAACCGAGATGCTCAGGCTTTCAGCCTCTCCCCCGCCTCCCCCTGCTCCCCCCCGCCCCGCCTCCCTCGCTCACGCTTGCAGAAGCAGTGACACGACAGTCAGCCTGGGGAGAAGCTGCTGGCTTCCCCCGACACTGTGGCTGCACACTTCAAGATGAAGCAAGGATCAGAGAGCTGCCTCATTACTCACATTGCTGCACGTGCCTCGTTGGAGCATCTAAGACCCCGTAGTAGCCTTGGCCCTGATTTTGTGCATTGATGAGACTGACCAGATAATTCACGCAGATCCACTTCACCGTACTGGTTTTGGATAAACCTACATGCCTGAATTCTTAGTGACTATTTCTGTTGGGATAAATGCATACCCTTTTTACCATGCACAATAATCCATAGCCTAAAGCACTTGGAGAAATATCCAAAAATCCATTTTTTTTTACCACCATCAGCCCTAGAAAGATGAATAAAGTCAAGGTCTAGACAAATAGGACTGCTCCACTGTCATTTTCACTGTTTCCCCTTCCAGCGGCTCTCCTCTGTCATGAAGCTACACCAGGGGTACAAACAACACGGGCAGGGTTAACTAAGCACTTAGGTTTAAATGCTTTAAAATAGTTAATTATACTTTACCCTACAGGCAGAGACAGTTTTCTCAAGTCCCTAAAAATGGATGATGAGTGATTTAAAACTTTGTGGATATCCAAAAGTTGATAGCCTATTTTTATCTATTTATTAAAAGATTTTATTTAGGGCAGCCTGGGTGGCTCAGCGGTTTGGCGCTGCCTTTGGCCCAGGGTGATCCTGGGGTCCCGGGGTCCCGGGATCGAGTCCCACATCAGGCTCCCTGCATGGAGTCTGCTTCTGCCTCTGCCTGTGTCTCTGCCTCTCTCTCTCTCTCTCTTATAAATAAATAATAATATTTTTTAAAAGATTTTATTTATTTGAGGGAGAAAGAGCATGAGGGGGAGGAGGGGGCAGAGGGACCAGCAGACTTCCTGCTGAGGAAGCCCAGATGGATGGAGATGGGACCCACTTGGGGCTTTATCCCAGGACCCTGAGTTCATGACCTGAACCGAAGTCAAGTGCTTAACCGAATGAACCACTCGGTACCCCTGGTTGCCCACTTTTTAAAATGCTGAGTTGAGGTTTGACCTTTCACTGTTAGGCTCCATGGTCTTTTTTTTTTTTTTTTTAATTTTTTTTTTTTTTTTTTTTATTTACGATAGTCATACAGAGAGAGAGAGAGGCAGAGACACAGGCAGAGGGAGAAGCAGGCTCCATGCACCGGAAGCCCGACGTGGGATTCGATCCCAGGTCTCCAGGATCGCGCCCTGGGCCAAAGGCAGGCGCCAAACCGCTGCGCCACCCAGGGATCCCGGCTCCATGGTCTTTTAAGTATAATCAGATAGTAGGAAAATTGTTGGGAGGAGAGTTACTGAAGACCAAGTTAGGCCACCCGATGATAAATATGTTAAAAACTGCACAGCTAAAGCAGGCTGAGATAGGTTTGCAAAAGATAGGTCAACCTTACTGTAAAACAAAATCCGAAAGTAGATATAAACATATATGAGAATTTAGGGGAAAAATAAACTGCATCTTGTCCATCTCCTCTCTGCCCATCATGTTATGAAAGCTCAATAAGTACTGTTTTGTTACGAAATCACATCCGGGTTAAGATTTAAATGTGAAAAATTGTGTTTTGGAGAAGCAATTTTCGATGAGTACTTCTATCAGCTTGAGTGAAGAAGAGCTTTCTGAGCAGAGAATCAAAACTGGAAGCCATAAAGGAATATATTATAAAATTTGACTACTAAAAACATGTAAAACCTATCTATCATGGTGGGCATAGCGTAATGTATAGGACTGAATTGTCGGATCACTACGTTAGACCTGAAAGTAATACAGCCCTGGATGTCCACCACACTTCAATAAAAATAAATAATAAAAAGGATTGAAATAGAAATGGAAAATGTGGAACATGTGCAAGTCTGAGCATAAAGTCTCATAAATAACCCCAGGACCTCATCCTCAAAAATCTCATTCTAGAGTCATGAATAGACACGCTTTAAAAATACAAATAAGGAAGTAAAATAAATGAAAAATTATTTATCCTACCACTGCATAAATACCTATAAAATAGCTACAGCCCTGGCATGAGCCTCAGCAGCCCAGATTAGTCCAGTATACACAGATCATATTTCTGTATAGACAAAACCTCTCAGCAGCCTTAATCCCTCACAAAACCTCAGACCACAGGCACCCATTAGCCAAAGTAAACATGAAAGGAGACGGAGCATCCGAATTGTCAGTAAATTCTGCAGAATTGAAATTTAAGCCGTCGGTTTCAGTAATTCCCAGAAATAATAGTCAAATCTACATATTCCGTGGCTTTGTGATTTTTATGATTGGGCCAGTACGAAAGCTTGAGGCATATTTAAAAATACGCGATTGATGTAGCACACAGAGGTCCCTTTGTACGTAGTTGGCTCTTAAGGTATTTATTCAGTGAAATACCAGCGAGGAATTTAGGATTGAAAACTTGCATAGAGATCAGGGTCGAGTGAAAGCCCTAAGTAGCCCCTAGGAGCTTGCAGCGCTCCGAGCAGAGGTACTCTGGGAGCTCCGTCTAGCTGAGTGGCCCTGGCACGTGAACAAAGCCCCCTGGAAACAGCGCCAACAGCGCCAGTGGTGTTTGATCTCGTGCCGAATCGCATCTACAGCATCCTAATTGCAAATTTGCTCCCTTGAATTTGCAGCGACCCCAGGTGAGGGCTATTTCCAGAGAGAAGCAGGGCTCATGAAGAGCCTCGCGGGCCTGCACTGGGGGGATCCCGAAGAACCCATCCTGGTGAAATTGCAATTAATGGTCTAGTTCAAGTGTCAGCCACAGTGACACGCTGAGTCGATCATTTTCGAGCTGGGGTCACACACTTACCACACTTCCTGTAGAGGCCCCAGAACTCCTCACTGAGAGGCTGTGCCTCCTACATCGTCATCAAGGACACGGACAATAGCCCAGGATAACTCAGACCCCCCCCCTCAACACCACCACCACCACCACCACCGATTGCCACTTTGGCTGCAAACTACCCAGTAATGGGCCTTGTGGTAGGAGTATCTGGAAGCTGAGGTATCATAAATTTGAAAAATTATGTGTGTGGTCTCCATCTTCCCTTTGCTGAGTGTGAGGATACCCGAGCTGTTTACGTCGAATTAGATAAAATAAGCAGAAACGAGTTCTGAGGCCGTGATTTTGTGTTTACAGCTCATCAAAAACCCCCATTCTGGCTTACTCTGGGCGCTCCGTGTAGGAGAAAACTGCCCTAAACTGGCAGAGCTCTGTACTTGAGCAGCCCCAGGGCCACCGGATGGGGGGGAGAGGGGGTTCGCAGACAGGTGGCCTAGAACTGGGCGTTTTGGGGGGAAGGTGCCTCTTCCTTCCTCCGGGCTCTGCAGGGTCCACGGTGAAGGTGGGAGGGCTCCTGAAGTCAGCAGGTTCCCTCTGGTTTAGCAGGAGCTGAAGGAGCAGAGCATCTCCCCCTCCTGGCCCTGCGGTGCTCGGCTGATCTCCTCCCTCTCTCTTCCCCTTGTCCTCGTTACCCTCTCCTTGCCCCTGTCCCAACAGGCGTAGAAGACATCGTGGCAATAATGATCCCTGAGCCGAAGGGGAAGGAGATAGTGAGCCTGCTGGAAAGGAACATCACGGTGACGATGTACATCACCATCGGGACCCGGAACCTGCAGAAATACGTGAGCCGCACTTCGGTTGTGTTTGTCTCCATCTCCTTCATCGTCCTGATGATCATATCCCTCGCGTGGCTGGTGTTTTATTATATCCAGAGGTTTCGATATGCAAATGCCCGGGACAGGAATCAGGTGAGTAGCAAAGAGTTTGTTAAAACTTAAAAATTCTTTTTTTTAAAAAAAATTCTTGAAGAAGTAATACACATTACTGTATAAATTTTGGGAATCACAGGAAATACTGAGATAAAACCCAAATTACCTGCTATCTCCCCACTCGAGATAAAGATTCTCACCACTGGCCGTCTAGTTTTTCAGCTCTGTGCCAAATATACATGTTTTGATGTTTTCCTAGTATCGCTCTGTAACGTGGAGGCACTTTGTCTTGTCACACCTTCCTGTGTTCGTTTTGTGGACACTTATTTAGGCCCAAAATAAAGAGAGAAAGGGGAGTGAGCTGAGATCATGCTAATAGTGGCAACATTGTGTGGGAAGAGCCAGGGTTTTCCAGCGAATGGAAGAAGAAAAGAGATAAAAAATAAAAAACTTTTAAAGAGCAATTCATAAAATAATAAAGAAAGAAAGAAAGAAAGAAGAAAAGAAAAGAAAAAAGAAAAGAAAAGAAAAGAAAAGAAAAGAAAGAAAAGAAAAGAAAGAGCAATTAATTTTGGAACAGATAATATGTACACGTGGTGTAAAATGCAAAAGGCATAAGATGGTGTGCAGTTAAAATAATGGCGTTCTGGTGTCTGTCCCTCAGTTATCCAACATCCTCCTGGAATATCTTCTCTTCCAGGGATATTTTATGTGCTTCCAAATGGCCATTTTTAAACAAATGATAGCACACACACTCAACTCTGTACCCTTATTTCTCACTTTTGGAATTATTCATTTCCACACTCAATTCAAGCTGCCTCCTCATTTTTAATGACTATAAAATTCCACTTGCTGCATACTTCACATTGATTAAACCGGTTTTGATTGATCAACATGTTTTCTCCTACCCAAAAAAGAAAAAAAAAAAGTAAATGTGACACTAAGCACATTTGTGGATATATCTTTAGGGTAAATTCTGGAAGTTTAACAGATAGGGCAATGGTATATGTATTTTAAACTATGATAGATACCGCCCAAAGTCTGCCAAAAAGGCTGAACCAATTTTTACATTAACTAGCAACATATTGGGATCCCTGGGTGGCGCAGCGGTTTGGCGCCTGCCTTTGGCCCAGGGCGCGATCCTGGAGACCCGGGATCGAGTCCCACGTCGGGCTCCCGGTGCATGGAGCCTGCTTCTCCCTCTGCCTGTGTCTCTGCCTCTCTCTCTCTCTCTGTATGACTATCGTAAATAAATTTTAAAAAAAAATAAAAAATAAAAAATAATAACTAGCAACATATTGTTTATGCTAATATAAACAAAGTTGTTATAATACTGTTTATACTAACATACACAATAATATACCAGTTATACTGTTTCCCCATATCCTTGACAAAAGAATGATAGGGCTTTTGGCTGCGTGCAGTTTGATGTTAAACATGGTATCACATTTTTCTTATCACAAATAATGTTGACATCTTTTCAAGCAAAATAGAAAAAGTGAGTATTTTTCCTCTGGAGTAGCTACTGACCATTTTCAGTTGAGCTGTTGATCATTTTCTTCCTGATGTGTGTAAGTCAAAGAAATTGAAGAGAACACTATTAGTCAAAGGAATTCACCAATGTAAGATTCAATTTATCTTCCTAATTTGTCATTGCCTTTGATTTATCTATGGGCGCTTCTTGCCATGCCGGAACTTGGAGATTTTACATAAATGAATTTATCTTCTTATATAACTCTTGAGTTTTGTATAATAAGATCTTTCACAGCCCAAGACTGTAGAAAAAAACATCCTCTCATATTTCCATCCACTACTTTTTATTTCACTTTTATGATTACGTCTTTCATCTACAGAGAACTTCTCTCAGTGTAAAGAATCAAGTAGAGAGCCAACATTATTTTATTGCAGATGGCCTACCTATGAGATTTTATAACTGGTATTTATTCAGTAATTAATCTTCCTGCCCGTCATATGCAGTGTCCCCATTCAGCATATACTAAATACCCGTATGTATTTGGTTTTGCTTCTGGGCCCTCAATATTATACCATAATCTGTCCATTCATACTCCAGTACCATACTACTCTGAGTGCTTCAGCACTTTTATATTGTCTCATATCTCTTCATGCTAATCTTCCTTTATTATTCTACTTTCACTTTTTTATGTCTGTTTTTATATAAATTTAGAAACACTTTTATCTGTTTGAGTTTATAGGATAATTTATAACCTTATGTTGTTGAATCTTCCTTAGTATATGTTTGCCCTCTATTCAATGATTCTTTTTGCCCCATACTAGCATTTTTAAATATTCTTACTTTCAAAAATAATAATAAATAAATAAATATTCTCACTCTTACACTTTTTTCTTAAGGTTATTCCTAGGTATTTAATAATTCTGTTATTATAAATGAAATATCCTTTTTCATATAGGAAGGATTTAGGGTTTTGTATTTTTACTTTGTACATTATTATAATGTACATATTTTATACTACATAATTTTGTAATTTATATATTTTATAATTTGTATTAATTTTGTAATGATTATAACATGCCTTATTATTATCTTAATTCTTTTTTTTTTAATTTATGATAGTTACACAGAGAGAGAGAGAGAGAGAGAGAGAGAGAGAGAGGCAGAGACATAGGCAGAGGGAGAAGCAGGCCCCATGCACCGGGAGCCTGACGTGGGATTCGATCCCGGGTCTCCAGGATCACGCCCTGGGCTAAAGGCAGGCGCTAAACCGCTGCACCACCCAGGGATCCCTATTATCTTAATTCTGATGGTTATATTAAATAGTATTGTATATAGGCATGTTCTAAGAGTTCTGTATATACTGCATACTTAATAGTCTTAACAACTCTGTAATAGGATTTTATTGTCTCCATTTTATAGAGGAAATGAAGAGGTCAAATAGCTTGCTCAATGTCACACAGCTAGTTATTAATAGTCCGTAACGGAACCAACAGCAGGGCTTCAGAGTGCACGCTCTTAACCACTATATTGAAGTATTTGTGATTGTTTATATTAGTTTATCAGGATTACATAAATAATATGCACAGTCAGTAATAATTTACTTCTTTCAGTTTTTAAACCTTTTTTTTTTCCATTATCTAATTTCATTGGCTTGTACCTCCAGAATCAACTAAAGTAATAGGGTAACACTGAATATATTCCTCTTCATTAAGCATTTATTGGGAACATCCCGAGTTTAATGGGATTTTTAAAAATCATTTCTCCATTTTATTATTTTCCCTTATAGTTTTCTAGGTTGAGATATATATTTTTTCATGTTAAGTAAAGGTCAGGCTACTCTTATTTCATTCAGAGCTTTTAGTCAAGAATGGAGATTTAATTTTAACAAACAGCTTTCAACAGCTATGGTCTGAGTTTTTTCTCTTCTGTTAATAGGAGTGTATTATTGTAATGCATTCCCCAATATTAGGCCATCCTAAATCTTACATATATACTATTCTTCTAACATATGCTAGATTGTATTTATATTTTGTTTATTTTTTACCCTGTTTTTCATATGTGAAATTCATCCATAGTTTACATTTCTATCATGTTCAGGTAACAGTTATACAGGCTTTTATAAGGAATTTGCAAATTTTCTTCCATTTTTTTTTAAAGATTTTATTTATTTATTCATGAGAGATACGTGGGGTGGGGGCCAAGACACAGGCAGAGGGAGAAGCAGGCTCCATGCAGGGAGCCCGACATGGGACTCGTTCCTGGGACCCCAGGATCACGCCCTGGGCCAAAGGCAGGTGCTTAACCACTGAGCCACCCAGGGATCCCCAATTTTCCTCCATTTTTAGTAATCCAGAATGGCAGTGTCCAACATGATACCCACTAGCCATGTGTGACCGTTCAAATTTAAGTTAATTGTAATGAAATAAAATTTAAAATTCTGTTTCTGTCACACCAGCTACATTTCAAATGTCCTATATATGTACTGCCATATGGTAGCCATTCCCATCATTATGGAAAATCCTATTGGACAGCCCAGCTCAAGAGCATTTTAAATAGGACTGGAATTAGCTGATTCTTAAAGTATTAATAGAAAGTTTCTGCAAGCCAGTAAGGTCTGGGTTGTTGTTTAAAAAGACAGCTCTTTGAATTTTCCTATTTTATGACAATTGGTTTGTTTAAATTTTCTATAGCCTCTGGAACAGTTTCTAAAAACATTGTTACTGCTTCTCTTCTGATTCTCAAAATGATATGTGCTCAGTCTAATAAATTTTTAACTTCCAAAAAAATTACTAAAAGAGAAGACAAATCACCAATTAATTACCCTGGAAATAGTTAACAGTTGAGTATCTTAACCTTTCAGGTTTTGCAATGACCTAAATATATATTCAGTAAGTTTATGTGGTCATTGCATAAATGCCTATGTATGAGACACAAATACACATGTAATAAGTACATGTAAACAAATACATAATCTATTTTTTAATTAATTGATGAGCTTTTTTCCCTGCCATTAAGTAATCTTTAAAATATGATTTTTAGTGGTTGTATAGTAGTCCAGTTCCACCACTTACCAAACATGGGCAAGTTACTTAAGCTCTTCATGCTTTGGTTTTCTGAACTGAATAGGAATATGCCTTCATCTTATGATTATAGTAAAAAAAATTTAATTTATTAATGAGAGACACAGAGAGAGAGGCAGAGACATAGAGGGAGAAGTAGGCTCCCCACAGGGAGCCCAATATGGGACTCGATCCCAGGACCCAGGGTCATTCCATAAACCAAAAGCAGACGCCCAACTGCTGAGCCACCCAGACATCCCAATTATAGTAAAAATTAAATAGATTAATGTATATTATTTTTAAAAGCCTCTGAACATGATTCTAATCACTTTTTAAGCTCTCAATAAATGGCATACATTATTACTATCATAGAGATTCCTTGATGACTACTTACAAATCCACTTTACCATTTTTGTTGAATAATCTGGAATTTAAGTAGATACCACCAGTCAGACACAAGGCAGTGAAACCCTAGAACTAATATGTTCTGTTTCACTGGCTGCTAA